TCCCTTCCAACTCCTGAGATTCTGTGATATACATATATAAATACACACACACACATATGCAGTCTGGGTATAACCCTTTAGGTCACGACACCGTGACTCAACTGAAGTCACCCAACCCCAGCTCTTGAGCACAGGATGCAAACCAGCCAGGAAAGAATAAGGAACAACACGCACAGAATTCTCTAATATCAAAATATAGCAATTTATTCAAGACACTGAATATGATCTGTTGATTCTCTCCTTAAAACAAATGAGCTACAATACACAAGGTGAATTTGAAGAAAGTGTGGGTGGGGGAGAAACAAAATAAGGGTTGATGTTGTTTCAACAGAACCTGGGAAATGCTGAAATGAGAACCAAGTCTGGCTGCAAGTCTGACACAGACAATAAAAACTGCAGAAGCCAGAATTCAGGATTTCAGTGAGTGGCTGAAAGAACATTTCTGCAATTGACAAAGAACCACATCTTTTAAAAAGGCAAAAGGAGGAAAAAAAAAAGGAGGAAAAATTAAAAAGGGAAAAAGAAAAAAGAAACCCAAAAACAAAGCAGACCCTTACATTTGACAAAGTGCACTTCACTTGGCTCTAAAATTAGCTATTTTTTTTCTTTTTTTTTTAAAACAAATTAAAAGGAAATTTCTAAGATGTAGCATGGGGTTAATGTGTGTATAACCCTGTAAGTCAGGCCCTTAAGTGCCCCATAAGGGACCCAGTGTTTTTTACATAAAAGATTCAGTATCCTTCTAAGCCACAGATTTGGGTGGTTTGTCAGAAATGGTTTGGTTTTCACTTCAAGGCCAGTTCCAGCCAGCCAGCAATGACAAAACCCAGCAGGTCTCTTGAGTTTTACAATCCTGTTTGGCCACTTAGGTTTTCCATTTTCTCTTCTGTTACAAAGAACCATAAACAGAATTACTGAAAAATACTGTATGAAAAAACTGAAGCCCACTGGCCTGTGTTCCCGCTGTTCTGGTGCAGGGGAGCTGCCGAAAGGCAGCGCTCGCCGGGGGATGCCACTGCCCCGCAGGGGAGGAAGGCTCCCATGAGGGCAGTCCTGCAGGGCCAGGCTTAGGGGTAGACACTGAACCACAGCCTGGAAATGCCTCTCTCTCCCCAGTGCCCATCTACAGAAGAAACCAGCTTCGTAGGCCAGGATTAACCTTCGCAACTACATCTTCTGCCATCCTTAATAGCTGCCCTTGCTTTAGCTGGAAACTCTACTACAGTATCTTTGAGGATCTTCCAGTCTTCAGGGTCTTTGGGAGGGGAAAAAAAAAGTGAATTTTCTTAGCTTCTCACATACACTGCTTTCCAATCTGATGGTCTGTATAGAAAACTCTTGGGACCAGCAGCCTCTCACATAGGCTTTGCAAACCACCTGACTTACAGATTTTGTTTCTCTTGGCTTCTTACCTCCACGTAGGCGGGCAGAGGAAAGGTGGTGTTCTGACAATGTAAGAAAAGGAAAAAGAAACAGGCACCATGGACGGTGCCGAGTTATCTCCAGCATCTATCCCAGGAACAACCATGCAACACGGGCTATGTAGCAGCCAGCCATGGGGCATCACCACCCTTGGACCGAGCAACCTCCTCTCTTTGAATCCTGAGGCCTGGCCTATTCAGGCATCACTCAAGGGACAGAGGCAAGGCCAGGGCTCCATCCACGTTGCCCTCCACTGCCTGCAGACCGGGAGCTTCTGCATGTTATTCTCAGAAATGCCACCCAAAAGCAGCTCAGGAAGTTAACCGTGTACATGTAATGACTGTAGTCAAATCATCAACCCAACCGTGCTTTATAAAACCATATTAAACCTTTGTATTCAAATTCAAGTCTCTCTTCAAACAACTCCTCTTTTTTTTTTTGAAGTAGTGACTTTAAATTAGTAGGTACACGGGGTTATAATAAAAGAGAGCAAAACTGCAATCATCTACAGCCTGTGCTCTTGGAGCAGAAGACTAAAACCAGCAGATAAACGCATTTAACACCAAAAATAATCCTCAATACCTTCCAGTGTCCAATTCTTTGATATAAACAAGTCTAACTGTCCTTAATATACAAAATCTCATATAACTGTTTTCAGGACTGAGTAACCCTTTCAGCAGTTCTTTCTTTTCTCCTTTCCAAATGCGTATCTTCAAGAAGCGCAGCTGAAGCTGGCAGCAGCTTGTTCCACTGGAAGGACTGAGACACTGTGCAGATGCAAGCATAAAGAGAGGAAAAACATTGGAGCAAAACCAAGGTACGGGTTCCACAATGCCATGACGATACCACAATGCTTGGCAGGTCTTGCACCACCAGTTGAGCACTGGGGTTCTGCTTTTGGTTTTGCTCAGATCAAGTTGCCACTTCAGCAGCTGCGGTCAAGTCCAAGGGAAGATCCTGTGTTGCAGAAACAGTGGCTTTAGGCGAGAAGGTACTACAGGATGTTAAGGGGGTTCTCTGCTTGTTTGGCTTTCTCTGTGTTACAAATCCTAGCCTAGCCTGTGGCCTGTTTGACACAGCCACTTGTGAGGATTTGTCTAAATAACAGCTGCTGCCGCCCTGAGGCTGCCTTACAGTCTACAGCACTTCCAGTAAACTCTGCCTATGCATCCTTCTTGGCATGCATTGTTTGCTTTGAGAGCAATGCAGTCTTCAGTAGGCATCACTGCAGATGTCCAGAGGAAATCACGTCCAAAATGGATAGGTGGTGCTTTGGAAGTCTTTAATGTCATTCTGATTATTTCACCCACTGTAACTTCACAGTAGTCTGTATGTTGAGATATAGCTTTTATGTGTCCTGTATTATGTCATCACCTAACGAAGAGTTCTGTGTTGTCTTCTGATCACCGTACTGAGGACACCCAAACCTCAACGCTACACCTGTCTCGGCAGACAGGGAGCCTCCAAGTGCAGACCCAGGTGACAGCAGCACCCCAGACTGCCCGATGCAATGGAAGAACCGGCTTCTAGGTGTGTGCTGGCCGTGGATGGACAGGAGCTTGGCAAGACTCCGTTCTTCAACTGTGACAGATGCAGTCAACAGATCTTGGTCCAACTGGTCCCATTAAGTCAGTGGTAAAATCCCACTGACTTACTGGAAGAGAAACAGCTGAGCGGGATGAGTAGCAGAGGAAGCACCACTCAGCAAGGCCACGGGCCGCCAAAGCCATGTTCTGCATGACATCTGAACTGTCACTAGAGGAAAGAAGATACACAACCGTTTTCCCTTGGTTACCAAGGGCAAACACAAATATGGATGCAAGAAAATGAATGCTGTATTTGTAGTCTCAAACTTGGGAATCCCTTTCAAAATGTGTACATCACCAAACAGCCACAGAAATAAAATGAGACTACATAAATGGCTGGCTGCTGGAAGAGGCCTCTTAGTAAAGGACTGGCATTAATTGTATCAAATGGCATCTTTTCTTACAGCACTTTCTGAGAGAGAAGAGAAAAAGGATACTGCACCTCTCATGTTCCTTGGACTCTGTGTCATTCTTTTTGCTTGAATTACACAACTGGTCTACATTTGGTGGCCGTTTTAGGCTTTTAAAACTGTTTAACATAAAAAATATTTTTTTTCCAAAAATACACTGGGTTCTTTCTGTTAAAAGTCATCTTTCTCCTGTAAAAATCTTCCCCAGCACTGCATTCTTATATAAAGCACTTATTACACAATTTGCTGAAAGTGCCCTTGAGACGCTAAGATCTGAAGCATGGAGGATTTTTTTTCTTTTAAACGGAGAGAAAGAAAGGAAAAGGAAGAGAGAGAAGAGAGGAGAAGCAGTCTGTCAAAAATTTTCATTGTCATGTCCACCTGGCTGCATCTACTATGGGCATACAGGGCAAAAGAAAAAAACAAAAAGGGCAAGAAGAAAGAGGAGAAAAAAAAAGGAAGGAGAAACTGGGAGTGGAAGGGAGAAATAAAAGGAAAACAAAAGTTTCATCCTAAGCCTGGGATCCTCCAGGCTGTAATATTCCAGCTGATAGAAAAACCACTGAACAAAAAAAGTAGTCTAGAAAATAGAAAGTGTTGTGATTACAAAGTTGAGCATTTCATCAGTACAAACTGGTCTTTGAACGTCCTTTGGGAGAGCAACTGTAGTGTCCAAATTGGAAGGAAAAAATACAACACCGCATGGAGGAGGATTTTTTTTTCCCTTTTGGTTTATCACAGCATTTTTCTTTTTTTTTTTTTATTAATTTTTTTTTTTGGCACAGCTTTTTTTCCCCAGCCATCAGAGCAAGTTCTCAGACGCAAACCAAACAGTGCAATGCCAAGCTGGTGGCTTCATGCTTCCAAGGCTGAATGTTCCAGGTGGAAACCATTCCCTCCCCCTCTGAAGTGACTGTGTTTTTACTCCTTGATGAAGGTTACGGACAAAATACTAGACACCTGTGGTCAGGGAGAGTTGGTTTCACGGTACACTCTAACTTTGTTCAAGTTCGTACAGTTCTGGAGCTGTTAAGAATAGTTTTGAAGAGTGCTTCTCCCCACACATTCACTGCTGGTCCATTTGAAATTTCTTCTAAAACATCTCATTTTTACTTCCGCAGATCTAGAACACAAACCTGGAGAGAAAAGACTCGGCATTAAGAACCATTTCAGAAGGTGATGTGGAAATCCTGTTCATACGCGGCCCCATACCGAGGTTGATCGACCAGCTGTATTTTATACTCCCCAGCTTCAAATCCGTCCGTCTCAAGTGCCTGCTCACGTGCATGCAAGCAAGGGAACAAACCGACACGGGAGAAAACCCAAGTTACAACCATACATTGAACATTTACCTGGGCTTTCATGGGGTTACAAACAAACATTTTGGTGCCACGCTCCTGCTAAGACTATGGGCTCTATTCAGTTGCTTAGGCAACAGTGCTCACTTCCATTTCTGAAATATATCCAAAATAGATGCATGGCACAGGACACGCACTTGCTTGGAGCAGCTGTTGGAAGCCAGGCATGGCACCATTTCAGATGGCACAACTAAGCTCAAGCAACTGAACCGTGTTGTAGGTGCACCCTTTGTCAAAACCAGCTGAAAAATACTGCTCCAGAGTAGTTACGCCAGCCAGCCACGCAGAAGAGTTAGTGTAAAAAGCTGTAGAGTGTGTTACAACAGCTGTGCATCCTTCACAAGCTGATCACACCAGAACTGAATTTTTTTTAAAGTAACATTAACAGTAATGAATAGTCAGTATCTCTATGGCAATAATTTTCCTTTACCACACAATGAAATCTTTTGGGTATCATGCTGAAAACTTTCTCCTTTAGGTACTATTCAAGGGTAAACTTCTTCTGTGGGACAGAAGTTAGAAAGCCCCAGGACAACTGTTTATTAGAGAGTTGACTGCTGTGACCTGATCTTCATTAAAAATTGACAGATGAGATAAAAAATGATAGAAACAACACTACTGTTGTTCTTATCAAATACGTATTTAAAAGTCATTCCCGTCTTCCGCCAACATCTACCTATTCCACAAGCGTTCTTGATTTTCAACAGAAGCACCCTCTCCTAGTATTCAAAACCCTTTTCCAAAGCAAGAGTGTTTTGACTATACTCCACAGAACTACTTATTTCTGTCTGGAGCTGCCTCCCCTTAAGCTCTGTGCAGAGAAGGCAGCATGGCACGTATGGTTTTTGGTTGACGCTCTCCAGAAGAGCGACCTCCACCCAGCATTTACAGTGTGTAAAGCTCCTTACCGATCCGTCTGATGCGCTTGCTCCCACTTTGTCTCCTCTAGCATTCCAGCAGACTTCAAAGATGCCCCCGGTGCCTCGGTAGCTATGTACTAGAGTTCCACTCTGCAAAGCAAAACAGCATGCAAACACTTGATACACAAGTTCCCCTTCTTTTTTTCCTGTTGCATGGCACTATATTAAAAAGAAGAGAGTGGTGGCGAGGGGGAGCTATTCGCATCACCCAACTATGGTCATCTCCATAAGGTGCTGTAGTTGGGAAACTGGTCTTTGATAAGAAAGAGAAACAGGCTTCTCCAGAAAGCAATTTACACAGTAGGACACTTAAGACATCTGCTTTTGTCAACTCTGTAGCAGCAAAGGCCTGGGGAGTTAGGCTGAGGTGGTCTTTTCTACAGTTTGTTCTTAATTTGGGCTGTGAGGCATCAGTATCCAGAATTAAATCTGTGGAACTATGATTTCCCACTTTTGTCCAGAATAACCCCAGTCCCCAGCCTGTACTCCCCTTGTATCTATCATCTCCTCAAAATAAAGTACAAGCCAGGTGCACTGGACTCACACCTGAACCCAGCTTGTTACTAAACAAAAGTATCACTTATTTTTAAGAAACAATCCGCACTTTTGCTTCACAAAGCTGACGGCACAACGTGATGTACCCATTCTCACGCATGCTTGTGTTTTAGCATACAGTGAAGCCTGGGCAGAAACAGTCTGGAGAGTCACCTCACGCCACCTGAGCAGCTCAACTGTTACGCTGAGATTTGCATCACCCAATACAATCAGGTTGACCCTGGCTGGCAGGTCGTATGCTACAGAGCTACATATATTTTCCATTTAAGCTTTTGCTATTCATGTGTCATCTAAACGAGACGTGCTTCACAGTACCTGAGTATTCCATATATGGACACATTTGTCAAAGGACCCACTGGCTAGATATTTTCCATCAGGACTAAAAGCTACGCTGTAGACAGGCTCTTGATGTTTTGTTAATGTATGGATGCAGACTCCCCGGTCAACGTCCCACAGCCGAACAGTGGAATCAAACGAAGCACTGCAAAAACATTCAAACACAAGCATGTCTTAATTTGGGTGTTAATCAATGTGTATTTTGATACTGTAAATGTTTTAAGAGAATACCAAAGGGTTTTTTCCCCTGGCTAAGCAAGAAATGATGTTTCAAACAGAAAAGCTAATACTCACTAAAGCCTTCATGATTCTTTTGACAAGGACTATCTCTACAGAATTGAATTCTTGTACGAGGGCCCCTTGAGTTTATCTAGGGGTGCTGTATATAGGAGCAGATCACCAACCCTAAAAGGGCCAAGCTCCCTCCTTTTCAGATTCTATCTCTTATTACTCAGAAAGGTAAACAAAAATGTATACATATACATATACATATACATATACATATACATATACATATACATATACATGCTGTCATTAATAGGATAAAAGGTTCCAGAGGGGTCTTATTCCTAATAGATTTGCATTATTTAATGAATTGGCATTCTGCAGTTCTCCAGAACTGTGTTTCTTTTGTTTCAGTGCTGATTTTTGCCACACTCCATCTAAATCTCAAACTGTGGGCTTAGAGAAAGGCAAAAGAAATAATTGGTATTAAAAATAACATCAAAAGAACAACTCCAAGACGGTAAAGTTCTGCCCTGTCCGCTCCAGACTAAGAAGCGCTGATGCAACTCCTCCCCAAACTGAATACACCACGAGCTGATTTGATAATCCCATAGTACTGCCATCAACTGGCACTGATGGCATATTTTCTAAACGGAAAGAAGAATTTGGAAAGATTTCCAAGTGGAATTTTAAAGATTACCCAAGCTTTTCTCTAGTTAACAAGGCTATAAGAATTGTCAGCATCTGCCCAAGTGAGTTGCATGGCCCAGGTTAGCAGACGTTTCACCTAACTGCATGGGCTGCCATCTGTCTCATCAAGTGCTTTCATTCCTAACAACCGGATGGCGGATGTGGAGGTGCAATGCCAAATTTACAATCCTATTATCAAGGCAGCTGAAAAGTTAAATATCACATGACTCAGTTATAATTTTTTTCTTCTTTCTTTTTCAAATATGATTCCTTTCCCTTTGTTTCCATCCCCCTGGTTTACAAACGTAGATACTGGAAGTATCTGCAGGAAGACTGACGGCAAGGCGACAGTAGAGTTACATGTCAGAAAGATGATCCTTCTTCTTGGTAGGCAACAGAGAAAGGTGTATTTTTACCTTGCTAACATGATGTTGGAGTTTGGGTTGCTGGTGCCTGGTCCTGTAGGACTCCATTTGATAGTATAAATCTCTTTGCTGTGAGCCTGAAGATCATGTACGCAGGTATCTTGCTTCATACTCCAAATCTAAGTCAGAGTGATTGTGAAGGGGAAAAATGGTGATGTTACTAATCTCAGCTGAAATATTTCAGTTCCGTGTTATTCTTATCATTTGTTTATTTAAGATCTTGACACACATGCATACATGTAAACATAAGTTTATTAATGCAGCAGTTTGGCACCTACGATGCACACACCTTAGAATAACACCTTTAGGGGAAAGAGCAACACTTTTAATACAATTTATTCAATAGATAAGAACAACTAAATGGTTGCTGTACTGCCCATAGCCTGTAATTGTATTTTCATACAGAAGCTTAAGTTACTCCATTTAAAGAAGTTTAATTTGAAGTTTAAGTCACACATTGCAACAGCCGTCATTTTAAAGAAGGAAAATACAAAGTTTCGGTAACTGCTTAGAACCTAATTATTTTCTCTTATGCCAGTCAAGAGCCAAATTAAATTTTCCTTTCCTGATGTTTTTAACAGCACAGACAATGGAACAAGATCAGCTATTTATGCTCTGTTACACGGCCAAATACTTCAGCCTGAGACAAAGAAGATGACAGGTGATTTAGTAGATCTTTTCTTCAGGTAACTCAGAAAACAAGATGAAGCTAATTCACAGAGCAGGTAAAATAACTCAAATTTAGTCAGTCAGTTTCCAAGAAATAAGAAAAATACAGAAACTATTTCACTCGCTTGTTATAAGTCTGCACTATGAGGGAAATGATGTGCCTTTATGCTGAATTTTCATCAGCGTACTTGAGCCTCCTTTTGGAAATGTTATGCAAAGCTTAGCCATGTTCTATTGACGCTTCTCTGTGTTTAATCCTCTACATTGACTTTAAGAAATACGGGACAAAATGAAACTATTGTTCATGCAGAGTTTTAAGTGATGCAGTACCAGCATTCTGGAGAAGATTACAAAATAAGACATAAATGTTATATTTCTTTTTGAATGGCGGGAATGGAAATTATATTACCTTTAATGTCATATCATCGGAGCAAGATGCTAGTAGCATGCCAGATGGGTCCCATTTGATTGCGTTAACCTCATTCTGAAATAAAAGAGTGATTTCATTAGTCAGATATTCTGGTTACCTGCATGGCACTAGGCAGCCAGCAGAGGGCACTCACGGTTCATGCACGCAACAAGTTCAGCCACAAATGACAGCCCCTGTTGCTTTACGGTTGAACAAAAGCAGTCCTGCTTCCTTAACCTGCTATTTAAGTGTCATTTAGGAATGGTAACTATTCTGTGCTTGTGAACAGCACACACAAGCATTCTTCTCGTTCATGTGCTGGCACAAAGTCTCTCATGCTCTCTCTTCATATGCTAGGATTTAAATAAACCCTGAAACCAGACAGATTGATGATACACCATTAACTTATTTTTAAAATTGAGATATTTCTTCAGTTAATATTCTGTAGATCTGAGAGATACAGATTTTCAATAGAAAATACGGGTGAGGTGTAAAGTTTTGCTGAGTCTATAATTCTTAGTATTACAGCTCTACAACAGTGCTGGTCTCTCTAAACAGAGCTGTATGTGCAATTAAATCCAGGACAGAATATTGAGTAGTTTATGATGCTTTCTTTATCAATCTTTCTAGCACTTCGTAATTAATTCAGCCTAGTGTACCTCCTTGGTAATGTGTAAGTTTTCTGTGCTTTTTTGAGAGTCATGCACGTGGGAGGCAAAACGATTTAATAAAAGGGTAAGATTCCTTTAAAAACATAAATTGGCTCAGAGTCTCAGTCAAAATAATCCTGGAAAATATTTAAATTTTGCTTTATCCACTTTATATGTTTCAGTAATAATTAAAAGGAACTGTACGGATATTTGAAGTAAACATTTGGATCATGTGCAAAATGGTGCATTTCATTTAATCATAAAAAGCACCAGTCTGTTAGTAGGAATGTACAACCTGTCATAAAATACCAGTTTAATATCAGTTTAACTATAGACTAGAGAAAAGGCCTCCAAATGCCCAGTTTTTCCTCAGTGAGAAGATAGCAAGTTCTGTAAGTTAATATCTAAATTACAGGCCAGTATATGATAGCTGTTTTCTCATGAAAGCTAGAAAAACTGGCCTTTGATGGTCATTAAATACCACCAGGAAACGAGGTGGGAAATACATCTTAAATAGATCTTATTAAATTGCTTCTAAAACTGAACGGTGGCTGGAGGTAAACTGTTCTCTCCTTATTCATAGTTCTCATTTACTAAAGGAAATTAAGCCAGTGGAAACCAAAATCTTATTTATTAATGTGCCCTCAAGTCTGCAGCTCATGCTACATATAAACAGTCTCACTGATTAAGCTGCAGGTTTCACCTCCTGCAGTGATGGAGAACATTTTATACCCTCTCTCAGGCAGTGAGTCACTCCCGAGGAATACGGTTTCAGGGGAGTAATGGATGTAGCGCCTTTGGTGCTAGAACACGCCGTGCAAACACATCACCTACCATCACCGTAACATGCTGCTGGGAGCTTATCATGGAAATCTGGGACTTCTTAAACTTACTGTGTGTCCTTGAAAGGTTTTAACAGGACGATCACAGCCAAGTCTGCATACGTGAATGCACATGTCAGTGCTGCAGGAGGCAAAAGTAGTGTTGTTCTGCCAGTCTACATCCAGAGCAGGAGCTGCGAAGCACAACCAAGAGAAGGAATATCAGGGAATACCGCAAAGAAACAGCTATCCCAAATCATTTTTCTCCTGTCACCCATCTGGATCAAACAGACTCAAAGCTGGTTCTTGGCCTGCCACCTGTAACCAGTTACAGGGGTGACAGGGACAGCCTGAAGGGCACAAATCATTTTTTCTCTCATAGTGGGTGAACTGGATCCTTTGCATGGCAGCTACTGAGAATCTTTTGGGTAAAGTTCTCCAAACAGAGGACAAAACAACCTGCTTCCACCGTCCCCACTCCCAGCTGCGCACTTCTCTTGTGCCATCTATACCATTCACTTCCCTGTAAACCAGTTCAGCAAAGAATCTGGAAGAAAACTCATCCAGCCAAAAAGCAGGTAATTTTAGCTGGCTTGGAAAAAATGTTGCTGTGAATGCCAGAAACAGCATCCAGGAGGGAGAAGCAGCAGGTGACCGACTCCTACACACAACCACTGATACCAACCTATAGCTCTGCGCAGACAGGGATTAATAACAACTACATTCAATTTAATTTGGTTGGGGACTGATTTAGGAGAGAGACATTGATCAAGCTGATCTGAAGGGAGAGGAAGAACTTCTGTAGAGAGTTTGGCTTTAACTAGGACTGAGGTAATGAAAATTTGTACAGAGGTAGCACGTGCATATGTAAACTGGTCCCTCTGTGCAACACACACACTTGGCTAAAAGCATAGAAAAAAACAATAAAGCTGCAGCACGTCACCACAGCCTGAAAATATGTACGAGAGTAGGAGTGAACTCCTGACATACAGCTTGATTATGTTTCTATGACTGCTGCTTGGGTTTTCTGCTCAGGGAAGAGTTTAGCTGCCCTCCAGAGGATGACATAAGACTTGCTAAAATACAGAAATCTTCATTCTCTGCAGACCCCTGTGGGGAAGCAAGTGTGTCAGAACCAGACCAGCACACAGGAAGCAAAGCTGGCACCAATACAATGCAAGTTTAGCATTAAAATGAAACCAAGAAATACCATATTCAAATACATTCAGAAAAATACTTCTGTAATACAGAGGTGAGAACATCTCTGTTCTGCCCAGCATATTATAGTTAAATATGTTTTTTCCTGTTATAATTTTTCTGAGCTGCAAAATGAGATTGAACCATGTCACCTGAATCATTAGGTAGCTTTCTAAAGGAGAACTGAGGGCTGAAATTGTTTCATATACAAATTTTATTTTAAATACTAGTGAAAAAGCTTAATAACTCCATGTGATGGGTAAGAAATTTCTACATTGAAGAAATATAAAGGAAATTTCTATGAGGAAGGCAGCTCACTTTTGAGTTTTTCAATGAATATGAATGGGGATCATGAAACAGCAGAGGATTTTGTTTCTTTAACTACCTGTTTTTCTTTCTTTTTATGCTACAAGCTTTATACTACTGTTTCAGAACAAACAAAAATCTGTCTTCATTAGTAGCAATATGCCTTCAGGGCTAATATCCAGTATGATACGTATGAGTTGAAAAGTAATTTCCTGAGAGCTACTGGCACCTAAAGCAATGGATTTGCATTGCAGCATAATTTGAATCATAGAGTGCTGATAATTAATACCGATTCATTTACTGGTGTATTTAATCATATGTTTACTGGGTAAGCAATTACATAAAATGGTGTGGAAAAAACAACCAATCGTGGTTTTTGATGCAAGGAACTGAATTGCCAAAGTGTCTCCAAAACCACAGGATACTAGCCAATGGCATAAAAGCAACTACAATCACAGAATCACAGAATCACAGAAC